AAAATATTAGTAAACTTATTAACTATTCACAACACTAGTATTTAATGAATTAAAAGTGACTTAAATATTTTGTTGTAAACATAATTTTCATTTTAATTAACAGTGGTATTCATAGTGTCGACTTAAGTCTTAGCTGAGTGTATGAATATTTATTAATCTCTTTGTTTGGAAATATAGTAAAAACATTGACAAATAATTTAATCCCAAGTTATACCTTGATGAGTAAAAAATTAGTATATAGAAATGTTAATATTAATGTATAATTTCTGATTCATAAAATACTAGTGTTGTGAATAGTTAATAAGTTTACTAATATTTTAAAACACTAATTTGAGGATTTTAAAAATTTTGGACGTCTCTGCATTACACTATCCGGTTCTTGCGTGGTTCTGGTGGTAATCATGACCCTGTTGCACATATATGCTGCTATTACACATATAATGCAGTTTAATAAATGACTTTTATTAATTAAATAAAATATATTAATTAAATATTTATAGTTATAACCCAAATAAAACTCATATTTATCTCACACACTATGATATCTAATCCAGAGTTATATAATTTAAAAGATTTAAGATATATCATAAGCATAGCCCGGGGATCCAGGGATTTTAGCATAAATATAGAGTCACGCTCACGCAAAACATTGTTACAAATTAAACAGTTTTAAATATGGTTATAATTTTAGAAAATAAGTTCATTATTTAGTCAACTTAGTAACTTATAAATTAACTAAATTGTGAACAAAATTGGCTTAATTATGAACCAACTTAACTAAATAGTCAATTAAATTAACTAAATTGTGAACTAAATTGCTTTTAAAGGGAGGACTCCCGGGTCATGCCCAGTTGGCCCTCACTTTAAACAAAATAAGATAACTAAATTACACAATTTACACTAATCTCATTCAAATCTTACCAATTATTACACACTTTTAAAATGCTTTCCATTCGCAACACGATTAATACCCTCAACACTTATCATTGATACGTGACAATACATGATTATATTGAACAAATAAGTATTTATGGTTAGCAATTAAGCTAATTTACTTCACTATTTAGTTAATTTCGTTCACAATTTCAGTAATTTAGTTCAGTATTTAGTTAATTTGATTCATAATTAAGCTAATCTAGTTCACGATTTAGTTTATTTGGTTAACAAATTATAACCATACTTTAATATTAAAATTATTTGTACATTATTTATATCAACTAATGGTAATGTTTTAAACAAAGTTTTTCTTTTCATGTTATTGCGTGAAGGTAGCTAAACAAATCCCTGGATCCCCGGGCAATGGTTATCATTATCCAACCTAGTTACAGTAAATTTTAAATGTTGAAAATTAAAATTAATAATATACTATGAAATAAATAATTATTTTACAAATCATGTGAATCATATTAAACACCTATATTTATTCAAGTATTTCACGTTATAAACATTTTTATGTTTAAAACATCTTTGTATCAAAATGCTTTGTATTCCAATAAATACGAAATAATTATTATTTGTGTAACAGTTATGAATAGTATATTATTTTAAAACATTATTTTATATAATTGTGTGTATTATTATTTGAAACTTTGAAACAGAACAAAAATATTTGTTTAATTAATTTGCGAGTGATTTTATTTTTATTTAGAAAATCAACAATTATTGGCAAACCGTAAAATTGTAGATCCATTCAGCCATATGTTGCCGGACCTCCTTATGGAGGAAACATGTCACTCCTCCGCCTCTGGTAGACTGGGCGGCCACGCGATTCAAGTCGCCGAAGCAGACCATGGAGGAGTTCTTACCGATAGCCCATTTGCTATGATCATTAGTGTATGAAAAGTGGCCAGGTATGTTCGCAAACGATACATTCATTTCCAGCACGTCCTCCACTCTATAAGGAAGTGTACAGTAAGGGGGAAGAGTGCCGTTCCCGCGTCTCCAAGTCTCCACCACTAGACTAGTGTTGAGTGCCGGCGCCACGATCTGGGAGTATATGTCCACGTGATTGGAGGGACTTTTGCTAAAACTAACGAATTGGAAGCCGCTGATGCTGTTGATATGCATGATACTCTGGCTACTGTGACTCCAGTTCCCACTTGTCAAATTACCGAGAATTCTATCGAATTTTAGGGCGGTGCCAATTACTCCTGCATGTCATTTTGGCTGCATAACCAGCATTTGCGTAAAGATTGCGTCCAGTTGCGTGATGTTTACTGATATACACAGAGCTGTCTGTCCGTACTTGGCACCATTAGATGGGTACACATATGGATGACCCGGCTGTATGATCAGTGAACAATCACGTGTGTTAACTGTATGTCAAACTCCGTGTTGACCCACAGGTATGTTATAATGTAATGGTTAGAAATATTAGGGTTGAACATTTTTGCTAAAAAGCGTTGTTTTGTTTGTTTTAATTTTTATCGTAAACCAAACAATGCTTTTTAGCAACATTTATCAACCATATTATTTACTAATCAAACATAATTGGGCACCTCTGGTTCAGCGTCTGGCAAACTACATTTCAAATAAAGTTATTACCTGTACAGGCGGAAATTTAGGAACTGTATGCATGAGCCAAAATCCATGGGCTGTATCGGTGGCTATGACTCCCTTAGCGTGAGCGCCGGTACTTTCGCTGTCATTTGTCGGGGGCTGATCATTATAATAGATGTAAGTGACATTGGGATCTAATTTGGTTTTATTGAGCTGGTTCAATGTTTGACCAAATAGTGATTCCTGGTCACTTATGTTCAGACTGGACAGTATCCAACCCGTTTGCGAGTTACTGGTCATATACGCGTAGTTCAAACCCGTTCTCAATGGATCCGTCTGATTGGCTACTATAGGCAGTTTGTAGACCACATACCAGTCCACGGGGCTATTACGTTCATCTCTGCATTGAATTTGACAGTTACTTATAGCAATTAAATTAAATATACAAAATAGAGTAAATGTATTCATTGTCAACACCCAATAAATTTAATATACAAAACTTGTATAATTACTTTTATAATAAAAATATATTGATTTGTAGTTCAAAATTGTCCTGTTTATATATGATTTTTTATGTGTAGATAATTTAGTTACCAGTGTATTTAAATATCAATCATTGAAATTCAGATCGTATTTATTTGATTAAAACAATTAATTTGTGTAATAATACGGAATATAAAGGTATGAATCGTGAAAATAAATGTCAAGTATTTGATAACATCTTTAAGTTTCATTAAAAAACAGTTCGAAAGTCTAAAAGTAATCAATGATTGCAATTAAAATACAATATAATCTCAAGAATTTGTTTTTATGGGTGAAATTACAAAGAGTATAGTTCCTTGATGGAGTTTATTTAATTAATATTTAGCAATAAGATTACATGCCAATTGTATTATTCATATTATGTTTATATAAATAATAAATATAACAGAATTAATACAATAAGTAAATAATTTTATTGTCCAATGTATTAAACTTAAAAATTAAAATTAATTAAAAATTCTAACATAGTTGTACTAGTATATATTTATATTAATACGCTCATGTGTGTGTTCATAAAATAATGTAATCTAGCTCAAAAGGTGATTTAAAATAGAAATTACTTGTTTGAAAAATATACATTATTATAAATAACTGATAACCGTAACAATAATCCACCACATTTTTCACCCATTCATTGATATATTGCCAAAGCTTATAGTTTTGAAAACATATCTGTCCGCCACCCCTCTTAAACTGGGACTCCACTCGATTCATATCCCCGACACAGACATAGGGAACGGTAGGTGTCTTAACTCATAATAAAAACTTTTTAATCAAACTTTTTACTTGTGATTGATTTTAATAAATTTCAATTAGGAGAATAAATTATTATTTATTTTAATTAAGCCTTTTTAGTGAAAATAATTTTCTCTCGCACTCACTCACTCTCTCTCTCTCTCTCTCTCTCTCACATACATACATACCTACATACAATTCCATTAAAACAAATATTAAATATGCATGATAAATTGATCCATTTATTAATAAATATACTCGTAAAGTTAAATACAAAATAAATATTATTAAATAGATAAATGCACACGCTCAATGTAAATCATTTTTCATTAATAATAACTATGGGCAAAATGCCCCACGCATAACTAGCATATTGACTACAAATTCAAAAACAGCCAGCATCATTCACGAACGCTGGATCAGCGGTTGAACGCACTCTGTAAACAGCGGGCACGATGATATACTTCCTGTCACCATGGACGCATGCGATGCATAAGTGTTATGGAAACTAACAAGGTTGAGCGGGGTGTTGTCAAACAGGGGGGTTAACTGCACGGCCATGCAATGGACGATTGCTTTGCCGTTACACTCACTGGTCTCCCCTATACAGCGACCCACGTACTTGGTCATCCAAAGTTCGAGCGCCAATATTTTGATCTTATGGGCAGTTTCATTGGACACACGCTGGTGCTTTTTCTTGGACTGAATTTTGTGTGCGTCCTTCCATCCCTTCAAGACTTTTGTGAAGAAATCGGGCCACGCTTTGTTCATACAGTCAGCGATCTGTTGATGGCACCTATCGACAGGTCTTTCATCACTTTCATGACTGGTTTTACCCGTTTGGTAACCAGAGGTGACCACAAATGTCAACACGAGTAACACGAATCCAGGTAGGAGTAGCATTTCTGTGTGAATGAGCAAGCTTAGATTACCCACCTGTTATATAGTTTCTACCTCAAATAGCCTAAAACCCAAAACGCCTAAACTTTAAAAGGTTTAAAACCTAAAAGGCCTAAACACAAATAACTAACTGACCACTTGACATATTTTTAATTTGATTAGTAGAATATACATGTCATAACCTAACCCACCCTAACCTAAATTAAGTCAAATGATCATTGAACAGTTACATATCCAAGTTTAGGCCTTTTAGGGTTTTAGACCGTTTAGACTTTTGGTCTATTGGGATTTAAGCATCTAGGTTTTTTACGAGACCAATAGGTCAACTCTGCTTTCATAAGCTTATGAGTGTTAAGGAAGCAGAGTTCATGCATTGGTTTTTTATATGTCTAATAGATTTAACAAACTTAAATAATATAATTTAGATTATCAATAATTATTACAATTATGGCAGCGAAATATTAGTTAAAATACAAATATTTTTTAAAGTAATACAAAAATATGTGACAATATGGGAAATTTAATTTTAAATTATTAATAATTACTTTAATGGTATATATTGTATGATACTTAAATCTTAAATAACGTTGAACGTAATTCTGTAGTTTGCATTATTTTAACTAATGAAATCTTTTTCAATAATTTTCAATGTATAACGTAGTTCACGTGAAAATTATTCTGGCAAAACTTTAATAGGTTTTTTGTTATAACACTTAGCCAAAATCGGTTAAAATATTTTAAACATCTATTTAATGCAGTTCTTATCCAATTAGTTAAAATTTATAAAAAAAATTTAAAGTCATTAAAATAACGGGACAAACGCAAAGGTCATATGCAGAGGTCAGATCAAAGGTCATAGGTCAAAATAGTTAAACACATCTCGAAGAGCAATAAATAAACTTTCATTTAAACTATTTTTCATAAAAATCTAATTGCTCATAGAGCCAGGGTGATATAAAATGTGACAGGATTTCCCATACTAATGACAACAATTTTGGAAATGATTGAATATTAGTATCTCAATATATGCAACCTATGGTGCAAATAATATATATGAAAAAACTTTAAAATTATTCCAATTAATAAAGTAATGGCAACATATTAAAATTTATGATTCTTGTGCAATAATGCACAAAATCCAGAATATTCAAACCACTGCTATTCTGTAATTAACTGGAATAATTTTAAAATTCTTTCATAAATATTATTAGCACTATTGGTCGTCTATATTGAGATACTGATATTCAATCATTTCCAAAATTTTTGTCATTAGTATAGGAAATCCTGTCACATTTTATATAACCCTGGCTCTATAAGCAATTAGATTTTTATGAACAATAG